CTACTACTACTACTGCTACTACAGCCAAAAAACCAGAGCCTAAACTCAAGCCTGTTATGGACCCGAAGATCACTCAGCAGAACCAACTGTCGCCCAAGACTGCAACGCCTACGAATCCTACGACGAGCTCTACTGATGGAACGGGGGAACCTCCAAAGCACGACAAGCCCAAGTCCGAGATCCCCTGCAAGTACTTTGGAAAGACGACCAGAGGATGTGCACGCACTAGTCGATGCCCCTTCGCCCATAGCTGGGATGGTTTGGACAAAAAAGGACCGTTGCCTGTCTTGTGGAGGTCAATTTCAGAAGGTCTGCCCGAACAAGAAGTTCAGCCCACCGAATTCCAATGCGGGAACACCTAAGAGTGGGAACGCGAAGCCCCGGACATCATCGAGTCCTACCTCATCAACAACAACGAAGAGGAAGAAGCTGGAGGTCAATGTGGATCATGAGGTGAAAGAGTTCAAACATGATGAGGCTGACTTGGAGATGAAGTATTTGGAGCCTCAAATCAAGAATGTGGCAACCCAAAGACCGGATGGCCTCTTGGATACCGGGGCAAGCCACCCTATGCGCCAAGGGAGCAATGAAGAGTACCGGGAGTTCCGGTCAAAGTTACCCTTGCAGGCGAGGACGAGATACTGCGACAGAATGAATGTCCAGGGCACGATCTTGGTCCAGAAGGAGAACAACAAGGTCCAGCCAATCGTCCCCTTGGGAGCTTTGATTGAAAACTTGGGCTACACGTTGCATTGGAGCCCCACAAAACTTCGCCTCATGCACCCGGAGACAAGAATGATCAAGGTGAGGGTCAACAATCATTGCCCTGAAGCTGCTGCCTGCGATGCTTTAGCGATGATTCACGAGTTGGAAATGAAGCAGGTCAATGCGCTGAACAGCAACGTGGAGACTCTCAAGGCGAGGCTAGAAGTGGTGAAGCTTCAAGAAATTCGCGATTGGCCTGAACTGCTGAAGGAGTACGCTTCCGAAGGAAGCCCGCGCGGGTTCAAGATAAGCGACTACAAATCGAACTAAGCGCTTTATGCCACTTTATCTTCACACACTTTCACACACGATGGCAATCGCACTTGTGAGGTCTACCCCGGTAGAGGAAACCGTGTTGACTGGATCGATACGGCTATACAAGCCGCCGACTGTTTCACGAAGTCGATGAAACCGGGCGTTATTATCATTAAACTGATTGAGTCTGGTGTGTACAGAGTCTGTCGGGCTAAGATGTAGCATCGCAGGCATTGGGTAAATTGAGTAGGTCGCAGACACCACTTGCAGGATGATTCTACCAAGTTCGTTGAAGTATCATGCCGTTCGTTACGCGGTTGAATAGTGCAAGATGCACAGCTTGTACAGCATGTTCTACGTTCAAGACAAGAGAACAAGTTGAGTGCGAATCACTGTCTGTCTGTTTGAGCTGTGAAGCCTTGGTCTTGAACATGATCTGTATATTCTGCCGCCGCTTGGGGCCCTTGAGCTATACCGGTAGTTACGCAGCGCTGGGGAAAAGACCGCCAATTTTGGTCTGCTTTTTGGCTTTCCATGCCTGGATTTTTGTAGGCCTGGTTTGCCTTCTGCTTTTGTTTGCTTGTTGTGTTCTATTTGCCTGTGTTTGTGTTTTTTCCGCCTTTCTGATTCGCTGTTTTTTCCGCTTTTGTGCTTGTTTGCTTCGCTTTTCGTTTCCGCCACTTTGCTGCTTTTCCGCTGTTCTTTCTGCCTTCTGCCTGTGCTTGCTTGTCGCTTTCTGCTTGTTCTTGCTTTTGTGTTTCATGCATCGCCAAACGAGGAGGCGTGCCTTTGATATGTGCTCATCCGGGATTGCCACACGAGGGGGCGTGTTCGAGACAAGTGACAACTGTTTAAGTTTGTGAAAGGTGATGAACGTCAAATTAGGGGGTGGGTGTAAGGAAAGTGATCAACATAGATCGCCGAAAGAGGGGGCGTGTTTACGATACGTCATGAATCGGAGTCGCCAAACGGGGCGGGTTTAAGAAATGTGATCAACCGGGATCGCCAAATGAGCGGACGTGCTTAAGACATGTGATGAATCGGCATCGCCACATGAAGGGGCGAGTTTTATAAGCTGTGTGAGCAATTTGGATCGGCAAATGAAGGGGCTTGTTTAAGTTTAAGATATGTGATGAATCGGGATCGCCAAAGCCGCGGGCGAGTTTAAAATATCTAAGCTCCCCATGAACCTTACCCTAGACCCTCGGGTTCAATGCGAATACAGGAGTTTTTGCGTATTAAACCGTACTCTAGACCCTCCGGTTTCGTGTTGTACTGTAAAATGCGAACACGCCACGGTTTGGTGGAGTGAAGTGCGAATACGCTGGGTTCTATGCATACCAAACAGGACCCTGTGTGCATCTCAAGCGGGCGTTTTGCCGCATGTGCCTAAGACGTTTTACCGTGTGCGCCTTAAATTCACTGGCTTACATCCAAAGCAAGACCCTAAATTCGTTCCCTCCAAGTATTGCTGCGATTAAATTTTTTCCACAAGCAAGGGTGGTCCATCTTTGTATTTACAACGAATCACGCCTCCAGCACATGGAACCGTAGAACCCTCTGTAAATGACGAAAACAACACGAGAATCCTAATTTGATTCTCGGAACAGGGCTATCTTCTTCAGCACGAACTCACATGAGGCGTGAATTTCCGGAGAGATCTTGCGAACATCACTTTGGTTTCACCATGATTGCGGATACGTTCTCAATCTCATCCTTTTCTCCTGCCGCCAATCGTGGTGGCACAGCAAAACGGGGCTTGAAACACTTTGCAATTTCACGCAGTGTCCCACATTGACATGTATATACGATTGATATCTTGAACCTGACCTAGCAAAACCCGAAGCTGTCCCTCATACCCATTTGTCGCCTTCGGTTCTGATGAGGAGTCACTACAGAGTGTCAGCCTGAGGGGCAGAGTAGTCCGGGAGCAGATGGCAGCTGGCATGGCCGTTGCAAGAGACCCTTCCCACAACCGGGCCTGATTGGTCACGCTGTCTACAGAGATGTCATGAAAGTGATGATCTTGCATTGTAGTTGATATCCGTCAACTCTTGCGAGGTGGTCTGCGACCACCCTCGTCATCCGCAATCTTCCCGACGTCTTGGCCAGTCAAGGGGAGGCGAGGAGTGCAGAACTGTCAGAGCTGTTTGCACAGTTTTGTTATCAGCAGGTGGTCAGTTGGCTCGATGAGGTCGGACACGGCAACTTAGAAGCACAGGGCACTTTCTTGCAGACTGGCCGGTCACGAGAGCATGGCGCACACACACACACACACACAGGAAGCAGAGCGCTGAGGACGAGGATACGACTTCCTCCTCTACGTGCCAAAGAAGACGCTGCTAGCTCCAATTGTGTACCAGAAGCCATCGTCCCACACACCAAATCTTCGCCGGGTCTGCAACGGAGCCTGGAGGGCAAGCGACTGAGGAACCCGGTCGTTTCCCAGGTTGCCAGTGGTGCCTACGTTTTTGTGGCCTGGCATGCATCCGCGCGGGTTGGGTTCAGGTGCAAGGAGATGCCGCCAGAGTAGCGCTGGTAAATAACGCCTTCATGCCAAAGCTCGAGAGCAGAGAGGCTCGTGAAAGCTCTGCAGGTCAACTATCGAAGTGCACACCTGGCACAGGCCTTCGCGCAACTCGTGTCGAATTGGTCGTACAACTATGACGGGTGCAATGCAGATGCTAGGAATCCCGTGCGAAGTGAATGAATCGGTGCTTTGGTTGCCCATCTTTCGCAAGTAGTGACAAGCACAAAAAGACAGTGAGAAGTGTGGAAAAGTGATAGAGTGAGAGTGAGAGTGAGTGTGAGAGAGGGAGAGAGCGAGAGAGAGAGAGAGAGAGAGAGAGAGACACAGCCGTAGCCGTTTTGGCTCAAGCCGCGAGCGGTTCAAGCCCGTGGGGGGTCCTCTGTGAGCCCTCTCTCCACCTCTGTTCAGCACCCCACGGGACAACCATCTTTTCCTCTTCTCTCCGCCACCTCTATTGATCCTTCCGCCGCATTGCTGCAAGGGGCGAACGAGATCTGTGCGTTGTTCACCTCGGAGGCCCACTCCGGTGAGTTCGGTGTCTTCGGAGCTGTTCGGTGACCGCAGCTGTTCCTTCTGCCGTTTGTGACCCACTACCTGAGGGCAATCGGCGACGTGCGACTACAACTCCACTGGGAGTACCTTTTCGTCAAGTTCGTGATAGTGGCAAGGACGGCAACCTGGCAAACTTCAAACTATGCGGGGGACTACAGGGACGAACCCGGTGTGCCTGAGATTCAAGAAAGGTGCATCGTACCACGGGGTCATACCCGTACAGATCCGAACTGCGTGCTACATGGGTGTCTGAGTGATGATGCCAGGGAGATCCAGGCCTTTCTCCGCCAAAACAGGATCGACGATGCAGTGCAAGACTTTCTCAACGTGGGGATAACTCACCAGCGCTGCACCTTTTATCGGGGAAAGCCCCGCAGCCAAGGACCCATCTTGGAAATGTCTGAAGGGCGAAAAAAGCCACCACAACCCCTCCGCGGACAACTGCATCTTGTACGGGGTAGACAAGCCAACCGCCGCTAAGGCCCGACGGCTACTCTCCTCGAACAAGAGATCGCCCTTGCGCGGGATGAGGCCTGCACCGCTGCAGCTAGGAGCTCTTCTACCTCATCGTCCCCCCCCCCCCCCCCCCCCCACTAAGGCGAGGAAGCGACGCAAATGCCGACATGGAGCCAGTGACCAGCAGCCACAGCCACAGGAGGCAACTCCTGCCGAGCACGAGGAGGATCACTCGGACGAGCAGATTGAGGACCCGCTCCAACAACTTTTCGGCAGTACGAGCAAGCCACCCGGGGATTCCCCGCCGAGGAGAACACCCATTCGGGCGATGGCCAGCCCACCTGCTGATCTGATACCGCCTCCTTTGCCTATGCCAAGAGAGTCCGCCTCTACTTCCTCTGCGAGTTCTAGGCCCTGCTTGACACCTACTCACTCGGCCGAATACTGGCACGACACCACAACTGCCGGCCCTGCCGCCCCCAGTCAGACCAAAGGCAACTGGTGTCCTGAGGGGACTTACACCCCCACAAGCCGGTCCACGCTGTTCCCGCTCCGGTCGTGCTTCCTGCATCCGACCTGATGCAGAAAACGGACACCTACGAGGATTTGCCCTCACCACGGCGCGTCCCACTGCCGCCACAACGCCAAGAACCTCCTCACAGTACACGATCCGGCCGACCAGCCGCGGCAACGTGCAGCGGCATCTCCCGACCTACCTGAACCTCCACATGGCTCTCACTTACACGATTCGGGAGAACCTCAGCTACAGGAGACCGACAGCCTTGAAACTCAGAAGTCGTCCAAAACTATACCAGGCCGGCGACATCAACTTTGAGAGCGGGGCCACCCTGGGACAGAGCCAAACGTTTGGGCACTCCTCGAACCGCTTCCGCCTGGCTGGAGAGACGAACATGAAGCACGGTCCAGGCTCCAGTGCACGAGGGGGATTACCACTACGATGAGGGAACAAGCGCTTGTCAGAACAGTGCGCAGCCTGTGCTTTTCTGCCCTGAGACGGGGGGCAGCCCCGAGCGCAGCGCTAGCCCGGACGCAAAGGAGGAACAGAACGAAGCAGAGGCTCCCCCATCGCACCATCTCCGGTGGGTCCGCCGACCGAACCTCAGCGCCCAGCAAAGAGCTCGCCGGCATGAACTGTTGCTGCAGAAGGACGAACAGGGGCGTGCTCCCTTCGGGCTTGACGACTTCCCCACTGACGAGGCCAAATGGGCTGAGTACCGCCGCGTACTAAAAACTACTTACAGGGAACACCGGAAACAGCAGCGAGTCGCAGGCAGCCGGACCAAAGACCAACAAAGGGGAAGTGCCCGTAAGCGCAGACCCCTTCTTCTCCAACGAGAACGCTCGCCGCTACCGCGCAGAATGGGACCCACTACATGACGGAGGAACATGGAGGAACCCCTTGGTGGGAGATGAGGCCCATGGGGAACAGCGATCACCCTGTGAGAGCGGTTTTTCTTTCCTGTTGTAGAGTGGGGGAAGGCCCCGGGACGGTGAGTTTTGGCACCCACGACGAAAAAAGTCTGTGGGGCACCACTGGCGCTTTGGCATGCATGTTCTGCCCCATTCGATCAACATGACGTCCTTTTTTCCATTTGCTTCCGCAACTTCAAAGGGGGTAAAACCCCTTAGACGAGATGTAGTCAATTTTTTTCTGACAGGCCGCCGGAGCCTTCCAAACCTCATTAGCCGTGCCCCCGCTCGGGGCGTAGAGCCTTAGCTCTTTTCAAGTACATTCGTTTGCCAACCGCCACTTTCTTTGCAGCCTCAGTGGGGGTCACCCACAAAGGTTCTGTCTGTTCAGGTTTCTTTTGACTTCAGTAACTTCCTGGTTTTGATTTGCGGTTGCCTTTTTCGAACTTCACATCAACGGGGAACCAGGCCTACAGCTGCACGATCTTTTCAGCGAGACCTTTGCCTTCACCCGACCCATGCCGATGAAGGGTTCCCTGAACTAGCCTGTTTTCGAGTGGTTGACTGAAACTTGTGGAGCCGGGGGATGGCCTCGCGTGTAGCTTGCCCGCAATTCTTCCTTGGCAACACCTGAAACTCGTCGTACTTTATGATCCTGGTTCTATTGCCCTTGGTGTTACATGCTGTTTTCTCATCCTCGAACGTTGCCTTGGTAGTGCGTTGTACTCTTTCCACGCCCCACCAAAACGGTCGGGGGCGCCAAGAGCGCGCGGGCGGGGGGGGGAAACCCCTGAGCCCGGAACCCTGGCGAAAGAAAGAGACAGCGCGCGAGACAGAAGAAGAGACAGTTGCAGAGAAGTCTGGCAGGATTGCTTCCATGCTCTTCAGCACAAAGCGGTTGACAACGGCACGACCAAGGCAAGTTCAGACTTGAAGAGGGAGCGGCAGTCCGAGACTCGTTCAAGCGATGTTGCCGGTCGGCGAGGTGGTCCTCAACGTGGTGATTTCGAAGCTCCAGGGCAAGCAGGCATGGATCCATGGCTGATGCTTTCATCGGCTACATCGCCAAAATTCAGAGCCCTCGGGCATTCGGCATTATGATATGTGAGAGCGCAGACAAGTCCTGCCCAGGCAGCAACACTTTTCTTACCCTGCAACGGTTGTTCGGATACCAGCAAAGACAATCGTCGTTCCTCACACTGCTGTCTGCGTGCAGTTTTCGCGACCCGTCTGCTTCTAATCTGCGGCTCAAGATTCGTCCGACTTGCCCATTTTGGCATTCCGTTGTACCGGAAACCTGAGAAACACAATGCGAGCGGGACGGACACAGGCAGCCACTCATTTTGCACAAAAATGCAACTTTCCTGCAGCTCATTGCCACTCCGTCAGTCTGCCAAGTGTTCTTCGATTTTCGGAAACACCAGTATGAACGGAAAGACTTCCAAACGTGGCCGTAAGATCTGGTTCGCCACCAGGCCACCATCAAGCCGCAACGTGTTTCGTTCTGGGGTTTCCACGAGCTTTCGAGCTTTCGGAGGCTTTGACCGAGCGCTTCAAAGACCTGGCAAAGAGCGGCAGGCGGGCCATGGCCGAGATGTCACGGGGTCATTCTCCGAAGTGTCGAGCTTGGAAAATTCTGGCTCCGCGGTCCTAACTGACAAAGACCCAGCCGGTGCTGGAGGGTCGGGCAGCCGACTGCGGACTCCGCAACCCGAAGTTGACCCCTCAACACCGTGAGTGGTCTTGGTCTTGCAAGGCTGGTGCCTCTCGTGGATGTGCCTCGGTCGCTGGATCCTGCATGCATGAAAAGCCCTCGCTGTGTCCGAACGGATGATGTCTTGTCCATTGTCAGGGGTGTGAGGTGAGGCTGCAGTTTTCTCGGTTTAAGGATCGGACAAACGAGCAGCTTGACATCCAGAAGACACAGGCAGCTATGGGGAATGCATTGGGCACGTCTGAGCGGGCCGGCGGGGCTGGGGTCAGGGATCGCAGCGGCCCAGTTCCTGGATGTACCAGCCAGCATCTGAGACATTCCGACACCAGCTTTTGCATGGCAAAGGCGGGGCTTCTTCAGGCTGGGAATAAGGGATGCGATGTCCGAAAGAGTTTTTTGGTGTGGTGCAGTATCCTCCGAAGCTTCTTAGATGGCAAAAACTGTAGCACAGAGCCCAGAGCCTCAGGCTTGCCGTCTTGTCAGTCAAATCGAAGCTGAAAGCTCTCGTCCCAGGTAGGCACTCCAGGATTGGATTTGCGATGGCCATGTGGTGCACCAGGCCGAAACCTCAAGTATTCCCGCTGAACCAGCAGAGTATGATTCAGACTTAGGGTTTCGGGGATAGTTTCTCCGGCTGTGCCCCGGGGCTTAGCCAGCTCTCGCAGGCCTGAGCAGGCCCTCCGGCTGATTTGTGGACAGAACTTGGTAGAAGGCAGCAGAAAATGGACTCAGTCCCATGTCGCTGACCGCCCCACGCAATGGTGTGGGATGTTTGCCCCGCCTCATGGCCGCCTTGTCCCAGGTCTTGGTCCTCCAGCCCATGTGTACCGCATGCAAGATGAGTAGGCGTGATCCGCGTGCCCCTCCTGCCAAGACTGGGAAAAAGAAGAACTAGGGTCGTGAGGGAGTTCATGAGAGTTCATTCTGGAGCTTGCAAGGCTGGCAGGGAGGAGGTAAGTTCGAGAGTGCAGTCATTTCGGGCTGTTGCGTTTGCACTTTGCACTATTGGAGGTGGAGACGTGAGCAGCCTGCACTCGGTTTTGGAATCCGAGTGTAAGGATGTTCTCAAATAACATCTCCTGCAGCGCTCCTAGTCTGTGTCGAGCAACCTTCTCTGCTTCGTCGAAACTTCGCCGGATGAAGACTCGCTGTGAGTTCGTGCCCTCTTTGGAGCGTCGACTTGTCCTCAGCGAAGTTCTACTAGAGCTTGCGTGCTGTTGCACTGAATTGGGGCATGACTTCGCCGGCCGGAATTGTTTGTAATTCCCTGCAGGGGAAAGCTTCAGTGTCTGCTCGCAGGCTGGACAGGTTGCACAGAATGTGAACACTTTCGCTAGACATGAAAGGCTTCTGCTCTGCTGCCCGAAGGTCGATTGCCGGCCACTCGCATCGATCTAGAATTGCAGGGTTTGAGTTTCGTCCCAGCCTTTAGTGCGGATACAGCCTGCGCGCTGCAGTCGCTGACACCCTCACTGGGCTGGAACCTCTTGCGCATTTCACCCAAGCAGCGATGGAATCACCTCAAGGCCGTTGTGTGGCAGTTTTGGGGTTTCCCTCCTGCCCAGAGTGACTCATCAATTCAAGACGAGGCCAAGATTGCATCATGAGGAGCATACTGTACCTTCGAGTCTGTGGGAGCGAAACGCATACAGCGCCCAACTGCCGAAGCAAATCATCCAGCAACTTGTTTCTGTGGGTACTGTGCTCCACGGCACAGAAGGTGCTGGCTGCTTGTTGAACCGACGAACACGCGTGCAGAAGCGCGCGGGAGATGTCACAGCCTTTGCGAACGGGAGACTTTGATAGCTGCGTCGTTAAAAAAAACACCAGTTCTCTGCACTTTGGAAGTGAGATCTCCGGGCACTCTTATCTTCTAACTACCGCAGTACCCTGACCCATGGCTTGTTGTTGAGCTCGCATCTTGCGAACACCATTGCAAGACCCTTGAACAAGCCATGGAACGTCGAAATTTGAACGGCCTCTCCGAAGCCCACGTATCTGGTCATGTGGCCAAGGCCAGCACCTCTCAATTTTGCGCAGCCGTAGCCTTTGTAAGTGCCTCATGGTTCAACAAAGCTTTGCGTCATGACGAAAGAGGAGCTGCGGCAGTTGCGAGATGTTGGTTCACTTTGTGCCAGCTTGTCAGCTCGTGAGCGCGCCTCTCCCGTTCTCCCATTCGCCGTTTCCTGAAACTAGACTGGGCTTGACGTTTACTATCTGTCCGTAGCAGCAATAGTAGCAAAGGGTACCGTGTTCTGAAGATTTCTGAAGATCTCCTGAGGGAATGCATCTTTGCGGATTCAAAGCTCGAAAATCTGCATCATCGCACAGGTCTTTCTGAATTTCTCCGGAAACGTGCCTCTCTTTGGCAATTCCAGATACCACCTAGATCCTGCAAGGGGCCTGCTCCATGGTCTGTGCTGCCTGCTGCCACGACTACCTAGATTGCATCTGCACTGCTTGGATGCCCAAAGCTCCCAACATGAGGAATGGTAGGCCTCGATGCGTCATGGGACGATAGCGCCTGTGCCTGGAGCTCCCCTGCGGATCCCGGTGCTGACAGCCATGTGAACTGGAATGCTACGACTGCTACGATGCCTGCTAGCTCCCGAATTCGATAGGGCTAAGCTGTGCCCCGGAATGTGCATCAGCTATCACTGCCTGCAGCTGGTAGCCTAGCTTTTTCAGGGCTGCGGCGCTCACATGTGCTTTGCAGGGGCAATGTACCCTGGCTCACATCAGGGCTGCTGTCAGGCATCTTTCGCTAAAGAACTCAGTGTATGTCAAAATTGCGGTAGGGCAACTTGCGCTGCACGGTAACAAACCTGTATTGCGACGATGTGCCTCGGAACGTTGTTGTCGTTATGCCCGGCACCTCCGTCCCCATTTACACCCAATGTCTAGTCCCCAGTAGAAATAGGTGCTGCCTTGATGAACATGCTGCATTTGTATGCTGCACTCCCAAACGTTTCCGGTAAAGCTCGTGCCGGGCCATGAACTGATGACATGTTGCAAGCAGCGGCCCTGGTTCATCGCAGAATGCGGGCATCTTCTCTCTTGCAAACCACTGACAGTAGCGTGGCATGGAAGCGACACGAAGATGGCTATGCGGCTATGCAAATGACTTCAAATGACAACTGCAATTCAAAACCATGCCAGGTAAAGTGGTTTCCAAGGGCTTACAATCTCATGGCCCTTAACATCTCCTGCACTCGCAAGCTTTTGCCGAAATGGATCTTTGCTGCTGGTCCACCGTCGTAAAGTCGGTATGCGAAATTTCGTAAGTTAGCTGCTGTCACTACGGTATCAGTCGCCAGATGCGCAGGCAGCATCAGGCAGCCTTTTTGGGATGCCTCTGAACACACCAAAGACAATGATCACGCAGCAAAGTCGCTCAGATTGTTTTGCCTCAACTTTCACGTGCACAGCTCAATGTGACAAAAAGAGAATTGGAAAGTTCCTTGCTGAAGGGATCTGCTGCAACTGCAAGAGCCTGTGTAGTCGTTACAAGTCTACGCATGCTGTATGAGCATTACAGGCAGTTGATGTTGCTTTGCTTAATTTATGTGGGTCTGATGAGTGTTCCTGCAGTTCTTGCATTATATAATTGGCCATCCGAAGTCGATTCCGAATACTGGTCTTGCAGATGCTTGGGAGAATCTGGGCGGGTGTTGAGATGCCACAGCACTTGAAATTTTCATCAAACTCCCTAATAAGGGTCGGATGTTTCGGTGTCCAATTCGGAGATCATATCAAGTTCCAGCACAAAGGCACAGGGGTACCTCGCGCTGGTTGCCATTTGGATCGTGGTCTAGGTGTCCATACAAGAACGTGGTCCTTCATGGCTGCTGCGCTGTTGAGCAGGCCTCGGCAGACAGAACTTTACAGCCTCTGTTTGGGTCCTTGAGCGGTTGTTTCTGGGAGCCGCCCGGCTTGCCTGTACGAAAGTGCCCTTGAGGAGCTGCTTCGGCAGAACTGGGTACGGTTGAGACAGCTGTTATCCGGATCCTGTACGCCAAAGCTGGCTCAGGCTCTCAACTTCGTCGCCAGAGCTGCAAGTTACAGAACTGGTGCAACGAACCCTCCGAGATGTCTCCTCATCGCCATCCGATGTTTGCTCCTAGGCTGAATGCCGCCAGGCCTGAAAGCTCGAACATTGGGATCTGCCAGGCAATTATGGACGGATCGTCCGAGCCTTGAAGCTTGCGTGGGTGATGGGACTGAGTGTAATTTGAAATCTTAAAGGGTCAGCTAGTGATTCACAGGCTTTCGAGCTCCGAAGCTTTAGGATGCTTTAGGGTTTAGCACGGGGGGCTTTTGGGTTTGGCTTTTGCACGGAGTGGATGTACGTGAAGCACAAAATTAGGAAGCATGGTCACCGTGCCCAAGTTTGCAAGAGCGGAGAGTCACGGAATCCGAGCCACACCGGTTCACAGCGCTTTGGACAGTCCGCGTCTTTGGAAAGTGCCATGGTGCCCGAAAGAAACTACCTGCAATGGTGCGAAGACTCCATAGACTCCCCAAGGCAGCTTGAGAAAGGCAGCGGGGTCCGGCGATTCGTGGCCGTGGCTATGCTGTTGCAGCCGGCGGTGGGGCAGACGCAGGAGTGTCAATGTAACTTCACAGACAGAAGTTGGCAAGCGAAAATGGATGGCATGATCCATCACATCGGCAACTTTGCGCGCTTTCCTGTGTTTGATTTCGAGGACGATCCGGAGACAGAGTTTATCCGGAGCTACGCATGTGCGAAGGACGCATTGGCAACGCCATGCAGGCCCGAGCAGGTGGCAGAGGCTGCTGTCTGCAGCTTGCAGATTACATACACGACACATCGCAAACACAGATCTGGATTATCGAAGCCCTGTTTGCTGCAAATGATTGGTCACTGGACCGCTGCTGTGCGCTCTGAGATGGAAGAGCAGAGGCAGATTTGTACAAAGCTGCCCGACTCCGATGAGAAGCTCCAGTGGTGGTACGAGAAGTTTCCAGCAAAGAATCAGGTGAGCGAGGGTGTGAAGAAATCCGAAGCTGAAGGCATGCAGAAGCGTCTCGAGGAATGCCAGGCAACCGCCCACGCTAGAGAGGAAGCCTTGAGGAGATCGGAGCAGCTTGTCAAGGAGATTCAGGCAAGAGTCAAGGATGCCAAGGCTAGCGGTACCAAAAACATCGAAGAGTTTGCTGAAACTGCGCAGTCCGTACGTTTCTTCTTGCCTTTCCTGTTTCTGTTGGGCTGCTTCTGCGAAGTCATCCGTTACTTCGGAAAGCAGATTGTGTGGCCCTGGTGTTCTGCCAGAGGCCGCACCTTTACGACGGAAACATGTTCGCACAGGGGCATGGCTTTGCTGAATGAAGACGCGGTCGAGGAGCTTCGTGTCATTAAGGATCAGTTGTTCCAGTTGACAGCGGCTGCTGCTGCAGAGGGCGCGAGCAAACTGATGGAGGGCACAACGACGCGGCTGGCTGACAACGACAGTGAGGTGTGGAGCCATGCTTCCTGGCAGGAAATCGGTGAAGGTGAAGCCCCGGCGGAAAACTCTCTGTCAATGATCTCTGCAGGTGAGGTTGTTCCGCGTCAGTGTTCCTGTCAAGGTACCTTTTATACAGTGTCAGTGGCTTATCATATCAGTATGAAGTAAGGGCCCGAAGAAGGATCTCAAACGGAACAAACCAGGTGGCACCGACAGCCCGGAGCGCTGCTATGTTCAAGGGTCCCTCTTCCTGGCAGAGGACAAGCGAACATACATTCCTGGCTTTGCCCTTTACGAGGGCTGCAAGATCTCGGCAGTCGACGGCAGCATCATCCGTGTCTTTTGGTTGCTTTCCAATGTTCTTTTATGTTCTTTTCATTTTCGCCGCACTTGTGCAGCAGCATTCCAGCGACAGTCCAGCATCAACGCCGTTGTTCGCCACGCACTAGCCTAGTCTTGCACACCTCCATTTCCATGTCAGTGTGCCGTGCGATAAGGTGAGACAGGCTCCAGAGCTCCACCGGGCAGAGAAGACTTTGCTTTTGCACGCAGGCAGCGCGGTCCTGCAGATTTGCCCTGACCATCGCATTGCATTGCCCACCGGTGATTCGGCAACTCGCCTCTTGATTCAAGATTTCCAAAATCCCCAAACAGCCCCCAGAACTTTGGGAATTACGTCAGTACGCAATCTGGGCTTCTTGTAAGCAGCAACATCAGCGTCTATGGCTTGCTGTTGCAATTCGCCTCCACCACTGCCAGGTGCAGGCTGGCAATCTTCGAATCGGTCAGGAGGTCATGTTGCAAAGTGTAGAAACCCAGCTGACCCGTCTTGAGCTCAATTCTGCACCCACCAACGTCTTGAAGCTGGCCTTCGACCCTCGACTCGACTGTGGAGCGAGGTCCATGAGGTTCCAGTCTAGAGCAGACAGAAAAAGCACAGGCTTTATTCAGAATGGCCTGGATTGGCTTCAAGGGGTTGAGAGTTGTTTCGGGTCTCTCGGGTCTGATGTCGTGTCCCACGGGCCCAGGATCCTGACTTGCCCGTGGAAGTCTGGGTGCCTCCGCTATCCCGTCGAGCTCGCGAGGAGCGTACCTGAGCCTGCGAAAGCCGTCAGGCACTACGAAAAGTTTAGAGTTTACGACAGGGAGCACTACCCACTCCAAAATTAGACTCAAGCCGGTGCGGGGCTTACCCCCAGAAGGCCAGAAGCGAATTCTGTCCATGAAACCTGTTGTATTTCGGTTTCGGGTCCTGGGTGGTTTCGGGTCTAGGGCTCAAAGGTTTCCAGTTGTACCCTAGCCCTAGAGGAAGCCACGGATGAGGGTATACCCCACAGAGGATGCAGTGGAGAAGATGTTGTTCTTTCGTTCTATCCTAAGCTTCTCCGTCGTGCTCGACTTGTACCCTGTGCGCCGCAACAACCGGTAGTCACGAATCCTAAAATCAGCTTGCAAGCCCTAGACCCTGCAATCTTCAACCATTTCAAGCTTCGCAAAGATCCCACACTTGGTGTCTTGTGAGAACCGGTGCAACACGATTTGCCTTCTTTGTCTCAGGTAAGTCAGAAACCTTAACATCCGATTCGGGTTTAAGGGTTTAAGGTTTCGGGTTTAGGGTTTAGACGGTTTAGGGTTTAGGTTTAGGGTCTAGGGTTTAGGTTTAGGGTTCAGGGTCCAGGGTTTAGGGGTTTAGGGTCTAGAGTTGAGGGTTGTGAAAGTACCCTGTCTGATGTCGCTTGCTATAATGCTCCGTGTTGGCTTGCGTAGGTAGAGCACTTGTATAGTCTCAGTGCTAGGATGTAGCTTCGATTATGTACGTACCGCAGGCGCCTTGGGCTAGCAGCAAAAGTCGGCTACCTGTATTGTGATGTAGCGTTCGGAACCTGACTTCAACTTCAAACTGGTAGCGGAGCTGGCGAACCACAGCGCAGGTTTCACCTCGTCTAATTGTTGTATTGTAGGGTAGAGCCCCCTAGCTTGTCGTAAGCGTAGACAGGAGAGAGCTGTCCGTCGCAGGACTTAAGTATAGCGGAGTCCAGCAGTGGGGACATAGCTCCCCTGCAGAAACCAAGTCCGGCAACTACATTTGCGCCGGATCAGCCTCAGCCTACCATGACTGGGAGTTTCGCACCCGCGTGCGTGTGTTGCAACACCGCGAAGAGCAAAAGCGAGAGTTGCTTCAAGAGCTGTGGGCGAATGCAAACGCGAGTGCGCGCAGTCAGAGCCTTCGCAAATGGGCATCAAAGCGCGCTGGCACTGCAGAGTATCCATGGTATATAGAGCATGCAGGTGATGGCGATGGCCACCCCACCGAGGGTGAGTCCAGCGGGATCCCCGCGAGTCCGTCTAGCGCCCGAAGAAGAAGAACCGCCGAGACCTCCACCGACAACGATGAGCTGTGGAGGACGAAGACATAGCTATGCAGTTGAACGCCTATACGGCGATTTCAGAGGAGATTGAAGAAGAAACCATCGGCGAAGAGTACGCCGAGGCAGTCCAGTTGGCATATGCCGCCACGAACACCCTTAGCCAGACCAAGGGCAAGGGCAAAGGCAAGGACAAGAGCGGTAAGGGGAAGTCTGGGGGTAAGTTAGTCAGTTAGTCAAGTCTAACCTTACCATAGCGGACCGCAAGGCTAAGCTCACCGAGCTTAAGAGCAAGAGTCGATGCCTCAGGTGCGGAGTTGTCGGTCACTGGGCCGGCGACGCAGAGTGCCGATTCAAAGGCAATGCGAAGGGCAGATCGGCCAAGCCCTCGGCGACTCCAGCACCACCAAAGCCCCAGGCTCGGAAGCCCCAGGCCTACATGGCTGTTGAGGACTCGGATGGCGACGACGAGGTAGTGATCCTTAGCAACGCAGGTTCACCGTCGCACGGTTATATGGCCTTCATGTTATGACCCCTCAGTTGCGCTGCTCTGCAGCTTCCGCTAAAATGCGGGATAGCCCTCCCCCGGGGAGCGATCAGAGGTTTACCTTTGGCCAGCACAAAGGCCTAACCTTCGAGCGGGTGTTCTATGGGGACAAAAGGAGAAATGCCCGTCCAAACTCTTGGCGGAGTTCTTGGACTGGGTGCATGAATACTTTGTAGTCACCGACTCCGACCCCATAGAGGTGACGCGGAGAGAGCATCCCCTGAGCAGCACTCCGATGCCTGTTCCCGAGCAGCCCGCGGCATCGTCCGTGGTGAGACCCTTCAGTGTTTCGTGTAGGGGTGGATGCAAGGAGTTTAATAAGTCGGGTAGCACGCATACATCGATATGCGGACTTGCAAGAAATGCGGAACCGTCACGAAGACCAAGAAGGAGAAGCCAGTGGTAGATCCCACCACATGCCTTCACGGGGTGACGGAGCGATCGGGCTCTAGCCGTAGGACTAGCAGGCTCAAATGCAAGTTGTGCGGCATGTTGTTGGATGAACAGCCCCAGGAAGAGCGCAAAAAGCGTTCTGAGATCGCGTCCAGGACTCGAATACCATAGATTTCGACCTGTTGCGTTCCATAGCGAGTCGCACTAGCGAAGATCTGCCCATAGAGGTAGTAGTCCCCGCCATAGACCAGTTCAGAGAAACTGTGGAAGGCCACTTTGTTACCAAACCCTCTATAACGAGGGGTGATCTCATAAGCTACCTGCAAGAAGCAACACGTCCTGGGAGATGGCAACTGCTGATGCGCGCTCGAGATCTTCGAGGCACGGGTATGTGGCACTCATGTCTGAAAGTTCTGAAGGGGTCACCAATACCCATCCTGCCTTGGACCCGTTGCCCGTAGTCGATATCTACGAGTCTAGTGGCGTTCACGCAGTGCTAGATGAGGGATGCAACAGCACTGTCCGTGGAACAGAGTGGGTGACAAACGCAGCCCAGAAACTCTCCAACCTAGGTTATAGTACCAGGTTCTCGCCCAACGCCTCTATGACGTTTTTCAAGGGGCTAAGTGGTGTGACTGAGACGTTAGGCGTTCGTCACATTCCTTTCTCTATATTGGGATCGGATGGAGAGTCAGGGGTTCCAGGGATTCTTGAGTCCCACGGGATTAAGGGCACCGCCCCCTTGCTCCTTTACGCACAGGCCCAACTCGGAACTAGCAAAGACCTTCGTACCAACCTGTACGGTGTACGCATGCCATCCAACGATCAGCTTATTCCGATTCAGATGTACGTCACTAAGGACAGCGGCCTGTCATGCATAAACTTGACAGATGGACTAGTGTTGCATAGACAGCCTGGGCTGATTAGTATTAGGAGCTTTAAGATCCCGAGCTCTCCTTTCATATCCGCGCAGCCGCTATGGAGGATGCTCACGAATACTAGCAGGAGATTCAATTCTCAGCTCATGCCTCACGCACAGCCTCCTCGACTTGTACTGTGCGTGTTAAGCCCGGACACAAGTTTCATCGGAGGGTTTCGGCATGTCGCGTGCGGTTCGAAAACCGGTGTTGCATGTGCAAGCGCTGTTTTTGGGAGCGACCTGCGCCCTCCCATAACCACGACATGCAGACATGTGGTTTTCAAGCGGATTGAGCATACAAGGCTTCGCAAATGTCCGGGACGTCTGTCAAACATGCGAGGCCCAGTGCTTTCCATGATCTCGCACCCATTTCCGCGCTTCTGGGAAGTTTGAAAGGCCCACTTCTGAGTTTCCTTCCACTCCTTCCTTTGATAGCCTGCTTTGCCCCGAATCCATGAAGGGCCACCCCTTTCCCTGGTAGCGTGCCTTGCTCCCAAACCATGCAATGAAGGGATTCATAGCATGTCTTGCCCTGCGCAATGAAGGGAGCCAACCCCTCCCTCATAGCATGTTTTGCCCCAGAATGAAGGGAGCTACCCCTTCCCTTCATAGCGTGTTTTGCTGCGAAAGCCATGCAACGAAGAGAGTCACCCCTTCCCGTCATCACCCTTTCCCTTCATAAACCATGCCACCAGGCAACGAAAGGAGTTGCTCCGTGTCTTCATGGCCTTTCGCCACCTCCTACATATTGCCGCAAAAGCCGCGGAATGAAGGGAGCTACTGCGGGCTGTGGCAGAGTGTTTTGGGCATCAGCGTGCTGCGTGCTGCTCGGGCGAAGAAGCGCTTCAGATCCGTCCCACTGGTCCCACAAGTCAAAGAATGGTGATTTCAACAAGTCTCTCCTCTTCAAGCTGGTGCAGAAGCCGCCACGCCCACCTGGCATATTTCGGGACCACGATAAAGCTGGAACTTGAACTCTCCAAACCTTGGCAGGACCTCCGCGTGGCGCCCAATCAGGTCCGACTCGCCTCCGACCTGCAATCCCAAATTTCGCCAAGGCTTTCGGGATTCGCGCTGCTTGCTGGTGGCATTATCATCTCTTATCATCTCTTGAAGCCTCTGGCCCCGACGGCCAGCACTACTACCCGGTGCCGACGCCCTTCGGCACCCTTAAACTTAAAGGCAGCACCGATGGAATATTGCTCGACGGCATGCACACAAACGAAAACCTTGGGCTCTTTTCACTCACCCTGCCTGAGCCTCCACACGGCTTCCGCAGGCCGATCTGTCACAGATAAAAAAGGCCAGGAGGGCTTGCTTCTGGCTCCTTCGCCATTGGGCTTTCTTCAAAACGGCAAGCTTACGGATTTCCTGAGCCTGCTCGTTATCTGCCAAAGCCCACCGAACGAGCACGCCGACGCCCTCTTCAAGCACGGCCTGCCCCAAGACTGCCACGTCGATTGCAATCTTCCTGTCGGCGGGCATAGCTTCACTGGAGATGGGTCTTAGCATCTGTGGCCAAGACGTGTCGCCACTTGGCCACATGTCGTTTCCAAGAGCCCAGCTCGAAAGCTCGAAAGCTGGATCGATCAACTCGGCAAGGGTTGCCCGCACGTAGTGTCAAAGCCGAAATCTCCGCTGACATAGAGCATCGGACAACACGGTGGATCTTGGTGCTGTTGACCTCTAGGATGCACACGGGTCCCACGCCGGACAACACCTTTGGATGCGCCAGCATCACCAAGTTGGCCCCTTGACTGTGTCCTCCGGGCATCGCTCCATAAGCTGCGTCACTGGCCGACACCACAATCACGTCCTCCAGTGCGCAACCCAAGTTCCGCACCTTGAAGTAGAGCGACTCCTGGGCCCTCTTGATCCGCAAGTTGAGCCACCGTAGAGCGTCTCGACAATCTAGGGGTGCAACGTATGCCAGGTCGTACCTGCCCTCTCTTGCTGCCCAGTTCAATTGGCCCGCCAGAGAACTGATGACCTTCTTTTCGCCCTCAGACAACGGCTCATCTGCTTCAGTATGGACCACCCTCTGCTGCAGGTACTCCATATGTCTGACTCTAGGGCCCCTCCTGACGTCGATGTCGTCGCCGATGGTGTGGATGTCGGTGGGAAAGTTGCCGGTGAACTTGAGACCGGCAATGTTGTCGAACTTGAGGCCCCTCCTGACAGGGGAGAGTGGGCTTCCCTTCCAGTGTCACCTTTGCAAAAGCGATGCCATGGAGTATTCCATCTCGAAGGTCCGTCGCCTTGCGATGCTGGCCAAACTTCAAACGAGCCCTCAGCTTTTCCCAGAGCTCGCCAGCTGCTTCATCCCCGGCAACGCGAGTGTCATCGACTGTACACTCGCCATAGTCCACGTCGATGGGGAGCTGAGGATGAAAAGCCTGGAAAAATCAGCTTCATCTCCTCCAACCCGAGCTCCTGGATGCATTCCTTGTACTCCAGGTACCACAGCCTCGGGGACTCCGGGAGTCCGAAGCCTGCTTTGGTAAGCTCCACCAGATCGTCTCGACAATCTCGACCCAAACCTTCCACCAGGAACTCCACTACCTCCTCGGGGTAGCCGCGGGGAACCTTCACGTAAATCTTTTCCTTCCTGGGCAGCGCCTTCCCTTCCAAGAAGGCTGCGCTCACGTCTTCGTACTCCACAACCCACCGACACTGCACCGCCACGAAGTTAATCGGTTGTGTCCCAACAAACTCGCCGTCGGTGACGATGTGGCGTACAAGCCCACATCTGGATCGCGATGCCCGCCAAGAATCCACCAGGCCTTGAGCTCGGCCGTCTCCAGCGTCTCCCCGCCCTTGTTCGTGAGGACGAATCTTGACCCCAAGATCCGGGACGGGTCAATCATCTGGCCTTGGGGTTCTCTTTGATGCCTTCGTGATCCAGATAAATCTTGATGGCCTTCTTCAGGGGCTCCGCGTTCTTGCCAACGATACTCAGCTCGAGCCTTGCCGGTGACCACCTCAGTCACCCCTTCAGCTTGAATGTCCTCTTCCAGCGTGGCCACGGCCACGCCAGCAACACCTTGACAAGGACCTTGACTTGATCCCGGGATCCCCGTACTTGTCCACTGTCGCCTGGCACATCCTCCACTTTGCACCCTCCGGCACCACCTCGTGCAGGACCCGCTACTCCATGCCACCGTCCGTAATCAGTACATCAGGTGGCCGTGCAACGCACGGCCACAACCCTCGGGAAGGAAAGGCTTGAGGGAGAGAGCGAGGCCAGCCGCCGAGCCTGAGCCCACGCCGGGCGAGGGAGGACTCCGAACGGCCTGAGAAACAACAGTGAAGGACCATGAATCTGAAAAAAGCCGAGTTTGTCCCCATCCCAATCCCACCATCTCCCACCATCTCGAATTCGAAAGCAACGAAATGGCCCCCACTTGCCTCTCACGCTTATAAGTGTTCCGTCAAGCTGTTCCCTTCCAAGTCTCCGTTTCCAGAAAATCTTCCAGGGCCAGAGCCGGGCGACCGACGACGCTCCGCTGGGCCTCAGCAAACGTGGGCCAAAACCAAAGGGCTGATAGGGAACGCGTCGCAGGAAGCAGAAGGGGCTGAGGCACCCACGCGCTCGCCCAAGCGGACCGACGCGACCTGCGGAAATCATGATTCATTGCAGTCCTGGACACGAATCCATACAGACATGCATATGTTGTTGTTCCGGCACTGTACCGAAAGCCGATAAAAGTCTGCCCATGCCCGAAAATCTGCGTGGCAACACGACACGAGAAATCATACATCTGCCCATCACTCGAAATCCAAGTCCCGACAAGCAACAAGAAATCGAAAAGCTTCTATGCAAATCAAACGTGCAACCGGGATCAAAACTACACCTTAAAGAAACAAGTTATGCATGTTCCGACACCCCAGCATCAGCACCTCATCAAGCATCATACATTCTGTCACTCCCAAACATAGAAACAGTCGTACGGCTTCACCCCGGCAACCACCCCAACAAGCAACGACAGACCCCATCGTCCCGTCCCCGGCATCGACATCAAGAAACGGCAACAAAGCCTGCGTCAGCATCTTCTCTTGCCCCAACATCCCAAAAGCCCTCTCAGAAACAAATGGAAACAACATAATCTTCCAACAAACCCCATACACGAAACCCTATAAAAGCCTAGTATCGATGTACCTCTTGACCCGAGCTCCGGCGACGGAGACTTCCGCGACCTGCGGCCACACCATGACGCACTGACGCAGCGACTATTTGGAGTCACGTTTGAGGGGAGAGGCATCTCACAGAACGGAGTCCAGAGCGGCTGATGCAGAAAAGGGTCCTGAGAGTTCTAGCTACATGGGTTCCTCTCTCCATCAGATCTCAAGGCTTGCGGGTTCACAGGGTGCAGGTCTCAGGCCGTTGCTGGGATTGTTGTGGTTTGGTAAGGGCTTCATGTCCTCCCGTGATTTAGGCCCCAGGTGTTTGTTTTTGCCCGTGCCGGGCTGATGTCGGATTTTGGCAGACGTCGTTTGGGAGCTGAAAGGACTAATTTGTGGAGTTCTTCATATCGGATGCATTCGGGGTCTAGTGGGCTTCATGCACACTGCGTCCGGGACAAACTGCGACTGCGTCCGAAATTTTTCTTATATAGGGCTTCGGTTGAATAGAAGGGTTTGAAGATACTTCAGCACCTCCATGCATTACACGGCGAAGTTTTGTAGAACATCGGAGGTTGTCTGCTCCCAGCCTTGCTGCATGGGCTTGGGCTACCCGGCTTCGACATGGTGATGTGCTTCATCTGCGAGCGCCAATGGGACGCGACCGAGGGAATCACGGCGGAGGAGACGGAGCTGCCTGACGGAGGGGAGGCTGGGCGACCGATCTCAGGCATCATGAATCCCCTTGACCCGATGCCTTTGTAAAGCACTCTTGTTGGTCATGTGGGGCCTCAACGCGAGTGGATAGAGGTGGCTCCGCTGCAGGCGCGTTCGGCGAGATACGAAAGAAGCAAAGGAAGCCTCGGAGCCCCCTTCACCAGGCGCCACCTCGGCAGTGAATACCTTCGGACACAGATGCCGAGATCTTCTCGCGCGCGACAGCCCTGACAATGAGCATCTTCTCACGTGGAGAATGCCCGGAGGCACCTTTGTCACGAGCCTGTAAGTTCCTTGCGCCATGTCGTCGGGCAGAACGGGCTTCATGCACAAGTTCGACTCACGTGACTACAGGGACACAATTCTGATGGCTCTACCTCTTGGCGCACTGCATGCCACTGACTGACTTGCTGCTCTTGGTCATCACGGCTGAGAAGGAGAAGGCGGCTGGGCACTGGGCGTTCTAGGCCAGAACAACGAGCAGTTAGGAAATGATGAACGGAACTTAGCATCCATCACGACAAAGAGCCAAGTGTCCCGGTGATCCTTTTCGGCACCTTTCCAAAGCGCCTTTGGTTCTACTCCGTGGCCGCTGAGGATGCGCAGTTTGGCTCAGACTGCATGGCTAACCCCCAAAACTCCAAGCCTTAAGCCCGTTGACCCTAAATCCTGAAACCTGAGCCCTTACCAGCCCCCTCAACCCCACCTCGAAGGCATGCCGTCGGCCCTCAAAGCTAGTTTCGTATGCGAGCGGACAATGCATGAGTTTGTCGCGATTTGGTTTCGATTGATGCATCGTTTCACTTGCACAAACGTGACTAGTTGCCGCACTCGGGGTTCACCGGAAGTGACATGATCGCCTCGGGCCCACTAAGTTTCAGCGGGGCCAAGGCCAAGGCGCCGAAAGCGGGCCCCGTCTCACATCGCCTCGAGCGTTGAAGACAGGGACCGACAGCTTCGCCCCAGGAAAGACAGAGAGGCCCAGAGTTTCGGGCACTCTCGGGGATGTCAGCTTGTTGAGGACTGCGGAGCGTCATGCTTCTCACGATCAAGAACAATTGCTGCAAATCCCTCTCAGCTCAGGGGAAAGGGTGGGCCGTCGGCCTTTTCTGCCAGAAGCCTAAGGTGAGACTGGGAGGGGCTAGGATGGGTCTGCGTTCTTTGTGGTTAGCAAGGATTTACAGAAGAGTTCGGGGTTTAGGGCCACGTGTACATTGCATGAAGTCTGCTTGGTTTCGAGGCTCGACCCGCACACTCTTGGAGATGCCAAGAGTTCCTCAGGACCCTCCGGTGCATTTACGCAAAGAAACAATTCATAACTCGCTGTGTCAGGTGAGGTTGAAAGCTAGGAATCTCTGATATATTCGAAACTTGCACATGTATGGGGTGATCAGATATTACCCCAAAACGAATATGTTGTGCAAGTCGCACTCGCTCGCCGACTGTTTTGACACCACGTGGGCTCTACGAGTCGTCTGCCTTGAAATGCGAGCACCGTCAAGCCCCAGCCAACAAGCGAGCATCGTGCCACACGGTCACAAGAGTCGTTCGGCACATGCCGTGCGCCGCCACATGCGGACTTCAAGATCGCAAGCCACGACTGCGGATATCGCACGGACACATCCCAGGAAATTTCTCGCCTGCACGTCTGTTCGCCAATAGGCGGGTTTAAAAGAAACTCACATGCAAAAACAAACGTGCCTTGATTTTTGTTTTCACACGAAAACCAAAAATCACTTCTCTAGAAACAAAACTTCATACACTTTCGGTGAAGTTACGTCTTCCTGGTCTGCAAACCACAACACGAATGCTGAGGAGAGTTCCTGGTGTCTGCTGCAAATGCCCTTGTTTGATTACTATTACTAGATTTTCAACACAGGTGACCTTTACACGAGACCTGTCTGCGGGTCATGGGCGGCAATGGCCATGCCTACGATTGACTCATGACATGAGGACAACACGGCCATAATGCTGCATCCCAGTTGTATATCTGCGGCACACTTCTACCAACGTCGTAGAGCTTGAGTCATGCAACTTCAAGTTTGGGTGGGGTATCTTGCCTTCCAGCCGCACAGTTCCAACTGCAAGAAGCTGTTTCACACGAGACATGCTTGGGAACAATCGTTCTTAAGACGCTGCAGGAAATCATGTCGCCGAGGTGCAGATCGGCGCCATGGGCCGGCCAGATGTTATCGAGAAATTTTCGGTCTCGCACGGAGACAACGAATCACGCAAAGCCCCCCACGCCCCACGCTGCTGAAGTCACTTGATGCAATACACGATGGGAACTTCAGCGATCAAATGGCGAGTAGGTGGATCTGATGGCAACTCTTGAGACACAAGTCCGCAATACCAGTGTTGCAATCGCCACCTAGTGTTTCGTGCTTCTCGCTGCAGCTTAGTAGACTGCCTTGTCTTTCAAGCGTTCGTGCGACACTCGAAAGCTTGAAAACCTAAAGTGAGAGAGTTCGGGGGGTGGTGTTCTCATCCGCTGGCGCGCTGCCAGCTGCCTCCAGACGAGCTGAGCTGCGGAGGCAGTTATCCGTGCTCGCGTCGTGCTTGCTGGGCCGCGTGGCGACAGTTGCGATCAGCTGCAGCGACCTACTGCATGAGGCCGGTCACGGGCCTTGGCCGCCCTTGGCCTTGCCTTTGCCGTTGCCACCCTGCAGAACGGCGGTTGGGCGCACATGTTGGGCACCCATGTGGACACATGCGGCCGCTCGAGAGGCAGGAGAACACTCCAAGCCGAAAACTTCCTGGTGTGGAAATCAGAGGTAAATCCATGCATCAGACCAGTCTTTTCTGTGAAGCCAGCAGTCGACTCCAGTTAATGTGTGCCGCTACTTTCCGGACCAAAGGTCCCCCTAACGTCACGACGTAGCCTTGTGGAGTATGGAAAACAAGCGCTGAGCTGGAGCGGCCGCCTGTGTGTTTCGATCACACAGGTGGTAGCGGAGCGCTGGAACTGCTAGGAGATCTCCTGGCAGTGGAGGCGCTGACGGTTGGTTTAGGGTTTAGGGTTTAGGGTTTAGGATCTCCATGGGCCACCCAAGAAGAAGCGACGGTGTTGAAAACACATGTTG